TACTGGGAGAAACGGCCCTGCGAAAGAGCAAAGAAGCTTTGCTTGAGCTGGATTAGTACATCTGAACTGATGCTTCCTCCCCTGAGAAAATGGGAATACCAATGCGCGGAAAGCTTAGGGTATCTTTTCAAATCGGGGTCGTCCAAATCTACGTAGTAGAAGCCGTAGCCTGATTCATAGCCATCCAGCAACTCAAATACATCCAGGAAGGACCATACAAAGTACCCTCTTGTATTTGATCCATTCCTTTGAAAATTTTAAGAGCGAGAAGAAGGGAAGGAAAGCGTTAGACGGTATACATAATATGGATAAGCTGAAAGAAATCTATGCAAAAGGATCAGTTGCAATCTACAAACACTCAAAAGGCCGATGGCTCTTAGGCCATTCCTTAAAGTTCGTATTGGCATACCTCACAGCATCAAGAACACTTCCAATGTAGGCATGCAAATAGTTTACCCTCGAGGTGTCTTCCAGTGTTGAATTACGCCTGTTTCTCTGACCTGCCAAAGACACCAGACCAACTTCACCAAGGAGATGAAAAGCAAGACCACAGGCATAAACAAATTTGAGATATTGCCAACCAAAATCTTTTTTTTAATTCCAAATAGAGGCCTAACGGTGTTGGTATTGGAGTTAGGAAGCATATGGTTTCATACAGTTTGCTATCAAATACGGTGGAATCAAAGAAGGATATAATCTGCATGACTAAATTTTGTAAGCATTTGTCTGTTTTTCCTACAGCTGTTTAGCCGTTATGTTTTTTCAGCTCATTCCCTTTCCCCAGCAGACTTGGCAATTGTTCTACATAATATGTTTTATTGTAGTCTATTGAATTGAGAGCCATGATATTTTATTCAAAAAAAGTATTCACAGCTCAGATTTCACTGATGTAAATTTCTGGGAATGACTCTGTTTTAGTTGCTGCACATTATTCTTCCCAAGTCCTCATTTTACATTTCCCACATGAAACTGCTAGATTATTTCATTTTCATGATTTCTTGGATTCTTGACTTGGAAAACGGCATGAATCCATGTAGGTTTCCCTCTGTTCTATAATTATTTAATCTACGTGCTTTTGGAGAGAGGTAAAGAGAGATACCATTTTCAAGAATGTAAATAGGGGGATTTTCATAAACTTGCTTGAAATACTCCAGCACTGCTTGCAAGCCCCAAGGCAGTATGGACAACTGAGTGACAAAGCTGGTCAGTGAACCATTAAGCAAACTTGAAATAAACAAACACTGGCAATAAAACCTCTCAACTCACCTCGTAAGTCAATGAAGCATTCCCTATATCTGCCACAAAGAGAATCCATTTAGTTGTTTTCCTCCAGCATTGATAAATTATTTTGATAAAGGTCTAAAATGGCTGTTTTAGTTCAGTATGTTAACATCGCCTTGAATCACTGAATTGAAAAGTACATCGTTTGACTAGATAACCTCAGTTAGTTCAGTCAAAGCAGCGATTGAATTTAACATTTATTAAGTTTGGCAAGAATATGTAAAGAACATACTGGATATCTTTACAGCTAAATCTGTGTTATAGTCTCTTTGCTTCAATTCCCAACTTCCAGGGTCATCTTCCACATAATATGAGCTGTAATGAATCACCCCTAGGAAATCAAAAGAACCCCTAACCAGTTCAGATTCATGATTGGTAAAGGTAGGAATTCTGGAGCCTGCAATTTTCTTCATCGTGTCAGGATAATCTCCAAACACCAAGGGGTTTACAATCCTGATGTACAATGCAGACAAAGATGTAACTGAACGGTAGAATAAAATTTCTGGTAAAGTCAGTAGTTCCAAAGGCATGCAGTTGACAACAATGCAGAAATGACAGAATTTTCAATAAGTTGCGCCACGCATTGATATATAATCACACTGGATGCCGGAGTTTGAACTTACCAACCAACAAAGAAGTCATTGGCTCTTTGAGTTGCAATGGCATCCTCTACTGAATTTGTTAGAGGAAAATTGCCAGTTGTATAGATGCTAATACCTATGAACCCATGCTGCTTTCCCTGCATCATCATGATTCATGTGTACTAATCTTAATGGACATCTCCTTAGCTATTTCCCAGTGATTAAAAAAGTTCTTTACATTCTTTGACATTGAAACAGCATGGAGAAAATTGGCAGTTAGAGAACTTAATTATGTGCAGGACGTTATCGAAATGAAATGTTGGAGCAGAATTCAATGTGGCTAGTTTCCATGTAATTTAATCAAAATGAAGTGGATAATTGGCAGATAAAAAAGAAAAAAAAAGAAAAGGAATTAGAAAAGAAATAGAGTTGAACTGCTGAACGACTTTGAAAGTTTGGATATTATTACTTGATACTTTTTCTTGTACAATCTTGCAGCTGATGCATGAGCCAACAAGATATTGTGAACGGCTATGTAGGGCTCGGATGAGGAGTTTCCTCTTGTGCAGTTTACTCCAAATGGAGGAGAGCAGTGCCTAGGAGGAGTAATCCCTCCATCATAACCTCCAACTGCAAACACATCGGGCTCATTCACAGTAGTCCAATATGAAACCCTGTCTCCAAATTCTTGGAAGCACACTTCAGCATAAGTGGTGAAATCATTCCTGCATTCACATATTGATGATTCGTATTGACCTATTTGAAGCCTAATGTACCCCATGCATAGAAAGACAAATTAGAATTGAAAAAACTAAAGAGCATTACACAATCCTTTGGTTAATCCATCCTCCATATTCATCTTCAAGTGCCTGTGGAAGATCAAAATTGTGTAAAGTAACATGAGGTTGCATTCCTGCATGATCAAACCGGTAGATATATCAGTGATGTAAAAGAAAATCCAATATAGTTTCTGGCTAGCATTTTCTCTTCTACTTTCATAATGAAACCATATTTAGGCACAGCTGAAGAAATGGTAGAAAGTTTGCCCCAACCATGGCTGATTAGTTCGTTAATGAGATTGTTGTAATAGTTTAGGCCCTTTGGATTGACAGGCCCCCTTCCATCTGAAAGGGAACATGAAGACAGAAAAAATGTGAGTATAAGACCAGGAAACTGCTCAATTCTTCAGTCGATATGACTAAAGCAAAAATCTAAAAATCATACTTGGTATTAGTCTTGACCATGAGATGGAAAATCTGTAGGCATCTAAGCCCATTTCTGCCATAAGGTGCACATCCTCCTGCAAAAGCATATTGTCTTATTACATAGAGACCATCCTCCAATAAAATTTGATGGGGTGTCAAAACAAGGGTATATAATAATTATGAATACAACATTGACTAGTTTATGGTCATATATTCATTATGAATACGAGAAAAACACTTCTTTTCTTCATCCACGAATGGGATCAAAGCCTATTTTATGCACCTTGTATTTATGGTATTGATCAACCGTTATGTCGCCAGTGGCTCCATTTGCATACCCTGAAATTGTAAAACGTTCGGTGATTGGTGCAAATATTTGCTTAAACGTACTGTTAGTCAAGATTTGTAGGAGAAGAATCAGACCAGCGTGAGCAAAAGTATCCCAAATGCTAGGAGCCCTCCCATCTTCACTTGCTGCTCCCTCCACCTATACCAGATACTTTCAATGAGCCTGTTTTTCTTCGGATACCCACATTTTGTCTCAAAACATTTATGTACAATTATAGTTTTCCTTTTACAATAACTTTCCCTTAGCCAGCTACTGTGTGCAAACAACAAAAGGTCAAAAACTGAGAAGAGAAAAAAATCTTGAAGAGCCGAACTGACCTGATAAGCAGATGTACCAGAACCAAAGACAAATCCAGGTGGAAAGTCAGATCTGCTATATTTATCAGCGCAAAGCACTGCCACTGCCAAATTTATCATAACTACCATTTGCAAGGAATACAGACTCCTCATTTCTCTTTACCCTACAGAGACAGTTCAGTTCACTTCAGTATCCAACTTGCTTCTGCTCTCCTACTTGCTAATACTTGACAATTTGTTCTGACATGCAATTAATAGATGCTAAGAAGACAACTCTACTACATAACTAATGTTGACCACATAGAAGCCAATTAGTATAGTTTTTCCCTTTTTTTTTTTTGGGTGACGGAAATCCAATCGAAGTCGTGAAAAAGAAAAGGGCCAAATTTTCAGTACGTAATATGAGGTTAATTATTATCTCGAGTACTGAAAATGACAAAGTAGTGTATTCCAACTGAAGTCATTAATGACGCTGTAATTTAACTGTCCTTGTTGTCTGTTTGTCTTGATTAGTATATGTAAAGAAATCCAAGAACATAACGCAAACGAAAAAAAAAAACAGAAGGCAAAAGATATGTCTGCTTATCCAAGGTCTGAACTGAAAGGCGTTTCTGTGCTAACAGGGAAGGCGATGGGTTTTTTGAATGAGTGAGGCCAGGACCTAGAGCCACACATGTACTTGTCGTGTCTAAAGCACGTTGGATTTGGATAAAACAAAGCTGAATAAACTAACAACCCTTTGTTTTCCATGGAAAACCAACAAAATTCAGTAACTGGGCACTTGCGTTCTCACCCAAATAAAATGTATTTATTTAAGAGAAAATATGAGAGGCGAGTATTATTTTGCAGTGACTCATTTTTTGATAATCGTTATATGATTGGAAGGCGCAGTTATGTTTAAATTTCTTATGTTGGGATATGAAATTGCCAATAGAAGAAAAATAAGCACAAAACAAATGAATAATAGCACGACAAGACAGAAGCAGAGAAGAAAAGTCATAGTTTCCGATTTACTACGATTCAATGATATTTCCCCCACGCGGTTTATCTTTGGCATGAGAAACAATTAGAAAGGGGCGGAAGAGGATTAGTGAGGAAAGCCAAGGACGGACGATGGTGGGACAGAAGAGAAGAGAACAATTAAGACCCAGTGCTGGCAATTCCTGCTCAATGGAATAGCTAATGTGTTGCCTTCACTTGTAGCTGTTGTGATTTTGGAGAAAGTTAAAAGAGTATGACTGCTATAATGCAATATCTTTAAAACACATCATCAACAGATAAAACACTTGTTAATACATGAGAAATAAGGGTAAAATATGATTATCATAGTAACATGTACAGCTTCACATAGTGGTCTTCAACATTGAGTAAAACACATACAAACATACATGATATCCAGGTAGATTGTTTAACTTCAATGTTCTCCCTTAATGCCTGTGTTGAGAACTCTCTGTTTATCTCTATGATAGTTGAATTTTAACCTGCTTAGTGATTTGGTTATTATGTCAATGAACTGTTCTTCAAAACTGATGCCTAAGAGGGTTCGAATGTCAATCGTGCCTTTGCTTGTTGCATGCAAGAAGTCCCCATTGCTAGTCTCAACATTCGACTGATGTTGAATATCGAGTTCAACAAACATCTCAACCTTTGGAGTCATATAGTTGGAGTAGTCATTGTTTAATATCCAGTGACTAGCATCTGTTATCTTTGGTTTGGTCTGTGTCATGAAGAAATGCTCATATGCTACCTCAACTTTCTCTATAGATTGAATGATCTTTTCGACATGACTAAATTTAATAGTCAACTTTATATAATTGTCTTTCACAATTTCTTCGGTAGAGTGTATCTCGAAGAACTGCACAGGAAGTTTGGCTTGTTATGTGTGTCCACTGATAAAGTTGACTATTAACACAATTAGATCAAGTTGACCATTAAATTTTTCTTTAGCAAATGAAACTATGTTTAAGTGCTTCTGATAATCTTGAATGTCTAAAATTATAACCCAAGAAAGAATTAGGGAATTAAGAGCCTGAGTGACATAGAACACCTAGTAGGTTAAGCATTAAAAGTAAAAAAAAAAAATTCAAAAGTCATAAATGAGCATATTCATAATTTTATAATTTTTCTTATTTAGTTAAGAGTTCTACATAGGAATTATAGGTATAATAGAATTTTTTTTATTTAATTTACTTGCATTAGGATTTTAGGATAATCATGTTCTAACTAAGAATAAAATATTTATTTGATTTAAATCTTTTATTAACTACTTTAGTTGTACTAGACAACTACTCTAATTATACTAAACAGCCAAAAGTAAAATTTTATTAGGATTTGAGTCTATAACACTATAAACAAGACCCTTAAACTTTGTTTTTTTGAATTATGTAATAATATTACAGATTTCTTTTCTCAACTTGAGTTTAAGTTTCAATATTTAAAACTTGGTTATTAACCTTATAGGCTTAGTCAAGTGCTAATCTTTGCTTCCATGTTAACTCGCAATGTCAGTTGGTATCAAAGTGGAAAAAACTCACCCAATCTAATGGCAAGTGACCTAGTTATGATAAGCGATAGTTCTCATGGTAAAGGGAACTGAGACCTCACGATTTGCAGTGTCAGATCAAGGGGTGGTGTTAAGAGCTTTGGAGCAATGAATGGATCTCAAATTTTAACGTTTGGAACAATGCTTTGAAGAACTTGCAGATCAACTTGATGCTCTAGATGTAAATGCCAACAAAAATTAGAATGATGAAATGCCATGTACCGAAGATGATGCAGTTCGCAGATAGCCTATCAACAAACCTGTTCCTCCAAACGTACGTAGACAATAAGTCTACATGGAAGATTAAATGAAAAAAAGTGATTATTTTGTAGAACCTGTAAGATACGCTAGATATGGAAAGAAAGATTTTAATAACAAAGATACTAAGAATTTCATATTAAAGGGATGTTCTTTATTTTAATGGGAGTCTAAATATTAAAGATTTTTTTGATTGGATTGTGAAAATAGTTAAATTTTTTGAATATATGGAGATTCTAAAAAGAAAAAAAGTGAGACTTGTCGCCTTCTGATTGAAAAGTGGAGCTTTTGTATGGTGGGAAAGGTTATGGTACAGAAGGAAAGCACCAACTAGAACCTAGTATAGGATGAAGTAGTTGTTACAGAAAGACTTTCTTTCTCCTGATTATGAGCAAATTCTATTTCAGCAATACCCGAGGTGCCATCAAGGTCAGAAAACTGTATGAGTATACTGTAAAATTTATGAGACTACAAAAAGGAATGCCTTGAGAAAGATTGAAGGGTAACAAGTTACTAGGTATCTAGAGGAGTTAAAGCCAATTATAAGAGACAAGATAAAGGTACAAGTGTTGTAAAATTTATCTAAAGCACGAAATATTGCTTTAAAGGCTATATTGATGTTGCGAGAAAAGAATAACTTGATTATTCTCGCAAGAGTTATAACGGGGATAATTATAAAGCATCCAACGATAAGAATAAATCAATTCATGATAATTTTGCACGTAATGACCAATACAAGGAAGAGAAAGCAATTGCAAAGTAAAATGTGACAGATACAAAAAAGGGTAGAAAGCTACAAATCCTTGTGCTAGACTAATCCCAAGAAAATGTTTTAAATGCAATCAACCTGGTCATAGATCCAATAATTTTCCTCTTAGAAAAGTAGTCCATGCGGTAGAGTGAGAAGGAAAGGATGATGAGATTTACTATGGTTTAGAAGGGGATAATGACAAGTATGCGAATGATGATGATGATGAAAACTATGTGATGAGAAGAATGATGTTGTCTCCAAAATAGTAAGATAATACTCAGTGACATCAATTATTTCAAACTAAGTACGCTATCACTAATCATTTATTTGATGTGCTTATTGATAATGATAATTGTGAGAATATTATTGGTAAGAATGTTGTGGAAAGTTTGAGTTTTAAAGCTACAAAACACCTACAATCCATACACTATTAGCTAGATTAAGGCAACCGAAAACATTCATATAACAGAATGGTATAAAGCACCTTTTTCTATTAATAAATACAAAGATAAGATATATTTTGATATCACGGATATGGATGCTTGTTATTTATTATTTGATAGATTTGATAATTTGATGTTGCAACGTAGCATGATAGAAAAAAAAAAAACCTACAAATTGGAGAAGGATGGTATACAATTTACTTTAGTGCCAATGATGAGAAGTGCCAAAACCAAAGCTTCTAAAGTGAAAAGGTGGACTTTCTTTACCCTTACTCATAGAAAAAGGTTGCTTTCAATGAGTCAAATGGGGTGCATACTTTAATTATAAAAAAAGTGTTATCAATTGAAAAGGGTCAAAAATTAATAAAGCATCCAAAAGCAGTCAAACCGTCATTAAAAAATTCAATGAAATGATGCCAAAAAATTTACTTAATGGATTACCACCGATGAAAGATAATCAACACCATATTGATCTGATTCCTAATGTTAGACATAATGACAATGCATATGTTATGGATTTGTCAAATAAAATGAAAATTTCAAAATATTTAATGTGACGGATATTTATCCATCTCATTCATCTGATGAACCCTTGTATCTAAATATACAAGTTAACTCAACGACAAGTTGTTGTCAAGCGGAAGGGATTGACGTAGAACGTTTCGCAGATAATTTCTTAAAGTAGGCCAAAAGCCAAAAAAACTCAAAAATCATAAATAGACATATTCATAATTTTAATATTTTTCTTATTTAGTTATGAGTCCTACATAAGAATTATAGAAATAAACAACTAAAAGTAGAGTTTTATTAAGACTTTGGCTTATACCACTATAAATAAGACCTTTAACTTAAGCTTTTTGAATCATGCAATAATATTACAGATTTCTTTTCTCAACTTAAGTTTAAGTCTCCATTTTTGAAACTTTGTTATCAATCTTAAAAGCTTAGTTAGGTGCTAGTCTTCATTTTCATGTTAACTCACTGCATCACTGAGCCAATACCTATTACAGTAAAACAGAAAGTCTACCACACCTCCATTACGGCTCAGGAGAACTACTCTTTCGCCAAATCTAGTTACTGCAATAAGATATTTTCAAAGAATCCTTCAGAGAAATTAATCACAATTGCAAAAGATTGTGGGCATGCACAAATGTGATAACAAAATTTACGAGCCAAGTCCAAAGGCCGAGAGACACTCAGTTGAGGTGATATGAAAGTCTCCAAAAAATGCATCATAAACTATTAGACAACTGATTGTACTAAACAGTGGTGTGCTGCAAATGAAAAGCTGTATTTTCAGGATTTTGTATTAGCAGTACAATGCCCCAGGTAGATATTTCCCTTTAATTTCCAGAATTACTAGTTAATAAGGGGTTAGATGTACAAAACCTAACATCAATACTGGCACATGATATAAATCATTGCTTTGTATTGACCAAACAATTGATATCACAAAATTCACTACATAAAAGATCCCATCTTGAACAGAAACACAAGTTCAAATAATGGTTTTGAAGTTTATTTTAGAACCACCATTTGCACAGTGGAGGAAAGAATGTGATAACCTATAGTCACATTTTACTTTCCAAAGTGTACCTAAGCAGGAAATTAGTAGCAGAATAAATAATTATTAAAATCTAAACAATTAGTAGTTCTGAGAGTGCAATTCAACCTCTGATCATTTGTATAAGCTGTCGTAAATGGAGACAAGAATAATTCCCTATCTTTTCATAAACTGTGAAAATTCATTTTCCAACGTTCCATCACAGAAAGTTGAGCTCATTGAACAATGGCTGCGCACACAATCTCACTTGATGATCTAATGATACAATTCCAATATAACAAAAACAAACTTATTCAAGAAATTAGACATAACCATATCTCAAACACCTCAGTTTCATCTTCTAAGAAAACCAAATTCAAAAGAACATCGTTCTTTAATGGAAAAGCTCAAACCCAAATAAAACAAGCACAATAATACTTCTAACAATTATCACAGTGTAAATTTCTCTTATTACAATAAAACTACTTACTAGTAATTTTGATGTGATACACTCCCTCTAAGTGTACAAAGGCAAATCAGTCCAAGCACCAGAAACATGTCCATTCTCACAGACAAAAGCTCGTACAACAGGCTCTCCATCGTCATGGTACCCGAAAACACGCCTCAAACAGAAAGCAGAATGCAAATCCCAAGTCTCTTTGCAAGAGCAAAACGCGCAATTCAGATTAATCTTGCCTCTGTTCCCATCATTTATCGTCCTCCACACCCGAGATTTCTTGAAATTCTTGAAAATGCCTCTGAAAAGCATGTAATTTCGCTTCTCCTCAGCGTGAACGCATCCAGGCCAATCGCAAATGTATAAGCAATCGCCTCGAAAACGGCTCGCTAATAATTTGTTTCCTTGTTCTCGGCTTAAATTCCAAACACCGGATGCTAAATGGGACCTCAGCGACCTAGAAAATTTCCTTCTTTTACAAGAGGAAAATTCACGCCCAATTTTAATTGCTCCATTATCTATTGTTTCTTCAGGGTAACCGTCGGTCGAATCGGACGGGTTATAAACGGTGTCGTAATATAGATCATCAAAAAGTGACCAGGGACAATCGGACTCCGGAGCGTCTGCTTCCGGGTTTGGATTCGGATTCCCTTCCGTTCTGCTGGAACAGGGGTCGGTGGACGGCGTTAAGGCTTGGGAATTTGCTGGCTTGTGATAATTCTCATCCGGGCCAAGCTCGCGTTCGAGGCCGAAATCGGAGTTCTCTAGAAGGACGCCAGCGTGGGTGAGGCCTGGGCAGCAGACTGACAGCTTGTGGAGGGAGGCCCAGCCGCCGGCTGGAGCGGACGATGAGGCGAGGAGATCGGCGCAAACGGCGGGGATGGTTTTGGAGCATTTTTGTTTCCAGCAGGTGTTGCGAATTAGAGAAGAGAACTTGGCGCAGACCGAAGCAAGACAAGCCCAGCTTCTGGGGTCGTCTTCCAGCTTCGAGAAGATGTTTAGAACGACGTCGTCGGGGAGTTTCGAGAACGGCGTCTCTGTCATTTTTGTGCGGGGGAAATGAACAGGCGAAATTCGGTATCGCCGGTTGCTCTTGTATATTTTCTTTCTTGAGTTAAAAATGGGCCGAATGGGTAACCTTTCGTTTGGGAGGTCATCTGGTGGGTGGATTTCCTATTTTCTGTTTCTTTTTCTTCGATGAACTTTCAGTGACAGCTGAGGTCAGCAGAGTCGGTGTAAGCCAGAGAATCGGGTGGCGGTGAAAGACCGTGGGCCATTTTGTATCGACAGTTATGACAACTAATAATAGTATTAATCAATTTTTGGTACATTACTAATAGTGGTATTATTCAATAATTAGAGTCCTCATTTAGTGATGCATCTTTAAGGGCAGCCACACGGTCCAAGTGTCAGAGAACGTCAAGAACAAACTCAAAACAAAAACATCGTCAAAGCCAAATAAATCACGTAACAGTATTATTAGTAATTTGTTTTTGTTCATTACTAAAAGAAACGATTGCCAAACAAATTTGTTGTTTATCTTTTCCTATTGTTCTATTATTCAGGATTTTCTCCCCCACTAAAGCTTAAATGTTAAGGATCCCATTACCACAGAAAGACAAAAGGCATACAACTTCATTATCCTCATCGTTGAACCCTGACCACAGAAAATCACGATCACCCAGGGAAATATGGATGGAGAATTTCGTTCCTCATCGATTCCCTCGACATATCACTGTTTGGCGTTGAAATTTCACGTGGCCACTTATCAACTTGCCCCTATGTCACTTACCAATTTGTCCACCGAACACGACATTATACCTGCATCTACTTGATTATTTATTGGTTCCCCTTCTCATTCTATCTGAAAAATGTTTTTGCTCATAATTTTTAAACTACAAGTGCCATCCACTGAGTTAAATGCTAACGCAATACCCTGTTACCTCTCTGCACCACCAACAAAATTCATTAAACCAACAATCAATCATAATATTGAAGTGCTAAAAACAGGTATATAAAACGTTTTCAATAACAACACACACATCAAATGTTGTAATCAAATTCAACATAGTTGCTAAACTTTTCTAATAAGTTTTCCACTTCTCAAGGTAATTTTTCAATCAACAACTTAAATTAATAGGAGTCTTCAGCTTCTTGGTCGCAAATCAACTCAGCAATTATATCTTACCTGTCAAATGAAATTCACTGTCAGGCTGCAGTGAAAATTTCTATACAAGAATTAGATATAAATGCAATGAAATCAACATCTTCTTAACTAAGAAACTATATCTCGACAAAAGACATTTAAGAGAAGATTAAGACCTCGATAAACTCTTGCTCCTACTCCTGCTTCTGCTCCCACTTGGACTCCTGCTAGCAGTCCGTCTTTTTGGACTCTTACTCCTTCCTTTTTGACGCTGCAAACAATCCATTAATGTAATGTAAACTATTAACAAATAATGATCACCAAAAGGAGACAATGGTCAACCACAGAAGGCAAATTTCGCACGAAACTGCTCAAAGGTACAGAAACCAATTTCTCCACGAAAAAAAAAGCAGCTTGACTTTTGAAAAGTTGACTAAATATGTACAAAAAAATTACTTACAGAAGGCAAAGGAGATCTGGATCTTGATCGAGATCTGCAAAAGTTCCAGAAAGAACCCAAGTTTAAAATCAACACGTTCCTTTTAACAACTTTCATCCAAGAGCCTTGACGCCCCTTCCACGTCAGAATCACCATATTCAAAAGGAATAAAGAAGAAAGCATAAATCTTTAGCAGTTAAATAAGGAAATAAAGAATAGGACCAGCTCACTAACCTGCCTACATAAGGAAAAAAAAAAAACCTAATCTAGCAAAATGAAATTCCTTAAAAGAACTATTTTTAATATTCCGACACCAGTGGATAGAGAATGAGCATGCTTCCCTATGTGCCACCAAAACCCACAGGTTAATCCACATAGCATGTCCTATTAGCTTGGCAATATCTGGAGCTGAAATTGACAGTGAAATGTTTCTACCGCTCAATGATGGTGACTTGCAAATCCCAATGCATTTACTTCACTGAAATCCAGCTCTACTATTGCAATTCCTTGCAAAGAAATCCAGCTCTATTATCGCAGTCCATTGTCTCCATTGTTCCAAATCTAGCACCCATGGACATTTATGATGCTATGTACATTAGAGAAGGGACACTGAAGGTTTTAAAGTTGCCCATCTAAAAAACAGCATACCTCTGCAACCAAACGAGTTGCATGCAATTGAACCATATTTCCACAAGATCCTAATATCCAATTCCCAGTTTGCTGCATTTATCCATATCTAAAAAAACAAACAAGGCAATTTTCATATGACAAAAGAAAAAAGGTGGATGTAGTTCAAAAACTGGGTTTAGTCTGGACCCAGTTTCTCAGATAATCCATCCTCTGGATGAGGAAAGCATGTAAGTTAAAAGCAAAATTTCATGTTGACAACCACAAGAGAAGCACTGAGTCCAAAAAAAGTATTTACAAATATCTAATCATTGATACCCCAATTAGATCCCCATGAATGAAGAAGCACACAAATATGTCTCCACCACATTCCTTTACTTTATACAATAAACTAAGTGTTAAAGAAATAAAAAAATAATTACTGTTATTGAAGGTGTGACATAAGGTCTGCCAATTTTCACTTCGTAATACACTACGTTGTGTGTTAAAGGGGCAGGTTAATAATAACATTTTATCACCAGTAAACAAATACAGAAGCAAAAAAAGGGGACGATAAAATGTAATGTGTGGCCAAATCATTCCATCAAGTTACCAAACTAAATATTCATTCTTCAAAATGAGTTAGTTCACTTTCCCAAGAAAGTGCACTTATTTCATTCCAATTCTTTTTCATTTTGAGAAACCAAAATATGATTGTAACCTCTAAGTCACACACCCTACACTTATCTAATTTAGAGGATTCATTCTAAACAAGGAATCTGCAAATACAGCCAAAAATCAACTGCAAGGTCAACGAATCTGATGCATTTACACATGACCACAAGCAGATAATAGAGGAATGATTATCTGTAAAACCAACCACCAGCAACTAACAACTCTGAATAGCATATTAAGGTAAGGGGAAAGAAAGTGTACCTTGACAAAGAGCGAGACCTTGATGCAGAGCGGGAACGAGAAGCAGACCTTGATCTTGACTTTGCTGGTGACTTTCGCGAAGGTTTTGCTCTTGGAGACTTGCTGCATCACAGTTGCAAGTTTAACATGCAACTTTAAGCTGTAAATAAAATTTCATATCCTTAAATAATAAGAAAAACCTGTGGCTCTTGCTCCGACTATAGCTCCGTCCACGACTGCGGCTGCGGCTACGACTACGGCTTCTGCTACGGCTTCTTGAGAGTGATCGACCACGACTAGGGCTTCTGGAGGAGTCCCGCTTAGAATCATATTCCCTAACCTATTGGCAAAAAGTATAGTAAGTATAATGGAATGTAATAATACCATCTAAAGAGAAATAGCATTAAAAATAGCAAGCAAGCTAAGCTTTAATCTTCACTGAATCATTTTCCTTCAGCTTCTAGAAGACTAGGTTGAGATCATATACCCGAACATAAGCCCGAGAAAATGCATTCCGAAACTCAGAGTCATCAAGTTTCTTAATCTGCCAAAAAGACCGGGAATTTTCGCACATAATCAAAATTACTTAATGGCATTAACTAAGGCAGTCTTCCACGCTGTTAATGATGTAAAAAGTAAGAAAGGTAACTTACAGCATATTTCATATCATCATAGTTGGTGTAGTCCACAATCCCTGTTGTTCCTGCAAAACCAAAACACAACTTATCTCAGTAAAACCATAGTAATAAAGTGATTTAACTTTCATTCCCATACTCTAGACTCGATTGTTATGGTTTTGATCAATTCAAATACAGAAAAAGAATGAATAACTTTACAAACAACCTAAAATTGTACATAAAAGCTAAAGGATCAGCCAACAATTGTGAGGATCCAACATAGTTTCTTACCACTACCATCACGAAAAACTTGGGAAAAACAAACATCCCCAGCTCGACGCATGTGATCCTGAGGAAAAATACATCATGCAACAAAGTTTAAACTTTCTTCACCTCTAACATTACAGGTTTCTTTATTTAATTTTTCATTTGGGGAGGGGGGCGAAAAATTACTGAAATCAACTTTTACCTTCAGGTCCTGCCATGAAGCAGAAGATGGCAATCCAGTGACTAACACTGCACACCATAGAAATAGATTAAAGACAAATCATAAGCAGCCTAATTTACCAAGCAAATGGATATGAAGGGAATCAGATAGAAACGCAACCACGATATTCAGAACGTCTGGACGGCCCACGCCCACGCCCACCACTATAACTGCTATGACGATCTACTGATGAACGCCCACGCCCACCATGTGCAAGTTCAACCTGCAATTAATTATAAGCATGAGAACATAGCCTACAGAGCCAAATCCTTGACACAATGGATAGATACTAAATAAACCCTAAACATGCAAGAAAGAATAACTAACCCGCAAACGATGTCCTCCAAAATCATAGCCATCACGACCACGAATAGCATCTTCCGCATCTCGAGCCTCTTCAAACTAAGAAAAATATATAATCAACACAGGAAAAAAAAGCCCAAAAACAATGGTATCCTCACCCACCCCCAAAAATAAAAATAAAAAACAGAAAAAGAGTCAGCATCTTTACACTCACCTCAACAAATGCATAACCTGGAGGCCTTGGTGGAATTTTCAGGTCAATATGGGCTATAGGACCATACTGAAACAAAACAAAAAAGAAGATATATAAGCTTTAATAAAACCTATTGATTTAAGAAAAGCATCTTAAGATTCATTCAAACCCATATCAAACATGATAACTCACCAAACTCAACAGTAAAAACTGTGGTTTCACTCCATATAAATAAAAGAGCCTAACTTTGTTTCATAGGAATAGTAGAAGAAGAATTGATGTGCACCAAACCATGAATAGAACAAAAACACAGTACAACTATATATATGTTTTCCTTTGAATTTGGTAACCAGGATTATAGATGAAATTTGCAGATTAACTAGAATTTATGTGCCCCAACTGGAACAAGCTTCGGTAGCAAATTCTGTGGTTTTAATTAGCTTCTAGCTGCTTTTTTTTTTTTTATAATGGAGCACTAACTCTTATCCAATTTGAAGTCCTAGTCCTTAATTTTAATGCATAATAGAACAGAAAGTAGTAAAAATCTCTCAACATCTTTGCTAATGAATAAGGTGGGAAAACCATACAATTAATCATCTAGATTTCTCTCATCGACTTTCTTTATCTCTAGACCAGATTTGGCAATCTTTACACTATAATTTCATTTCTTAGCATCTAAAACGCCCTAAAGATCAAATCATAAGCATGGAAATCAAACCATAAATTCGCAATATATATTTTTAAGTTCAAAGTTCCACCAAAGCAGTGCAATCTACTCTTAATCAAGCATTTTACAGATAAACAGAAAAACTGACTCGTTTACTCATAAGCAACTTCCATTTAACCAAAGATAATGTAGAGTTAACGGTGAAATTGAAAATAACCAAAGATAGAGGAAAGGTTATTTACCTTGTAAAACAAATCTTCCACTTCCCTCTCGCGAACATCGCCAGGAAGATTCCCAACATACAGAGTTCTACTCGAACGGCTACTCATTTCTTTTTCCTGAGAAATACAAAACACAAACAAAAGCAAGTCTCAGGGGAGCTCCGTTAGGTTTTAAAGAAAAATGGGGAAGATGAACCGATTTAGGGTTTGAATTCAGGAATTAGTGTTTTTACCTGCGAGAGGGGAGGTTGTTCTGAGACGACGAGACGGAGGTCTTCGGAAAGAGATTTATTTAGGGTTTTGAAATTTGAGAGAGATGAGAGAGAGGGTAGGGTAAGATTAGGCGAGAAAACAATGTTAGAAAAGCTTATGGTGTGAACGCCTGTATAGAAACCTACTTGCGGGCTTTCGATGTTATTGAAATCAAGCGGCGTCAGATCTACGAGTATATCTCCTAGTTTGACCCGTCCAGCTGTACACCTCTCTGCAACCGCGGGGCCCTCTTTATTTCTTGCCTAGAAATGCTGACGTACACTCATAGCGTTTGCCGAATTGATTTTGTCCACTCGTATATTGCCACGTAAGGGGAGCGTTAAATAAAGAATCATTTTCTTTGCTTTATTTTGGTAACAATATAGGACGTTTCGTTTCGTTTCTTTATTTGAGTTTATACGTACAATTTTTTTGTACCTCTTTTGCTTTTTCATTTTTCTCTTTAAACTCAAGTAATAGCATCATAAGAAATTCATCTTTAATAGGGTAACTTAAGAAAAAACACTTTATGATTTGACATTTATCTATGTTGTGCTTTTTGTTGTCAGCATTAATTAACATGGTTAGTAAATTATTAATAATAAAATATTAGTATTTACATCACTAAATATTAATTAATAATAAATATAAATAAAAAAACTAAATTTTTAGACCTATTTTTCGTTCAAGAAAAAACTGCTAAATTGAAAATATTTAACACTAAAATTAAGTGCTAAAGTTTTAGTTTTGAAAAATTAAGTATACTGTAAAAATTGCTTAGTATTCTATTGAAAATAAAATATTAAGTAGATGTTTTGTTGATATTTATAAGTACTTTATATTAATAAAAGTAAAATTAGAAAAATAAACAATTAGAAAAGAAAAAAATATAAGATTTGTGTAATTAAATGAAAATTTTTTCCTATTGGGCATGGCTAGAGCATCTATAATAAATGTTATTCAAGTAGAGTTGTTTTAAAAGTACTATTACGATAAACTAATGTAGTATTTGACAAACTTGGTACAAAAGTGCCGTATGTGAAAAAATAATTGATCATATTTTAATTCATATTTAATAAATAAATAAATAAATCAACTTAATTTAACAAAATCATAAATTTTAAATTAGAACAATTTTTTTATTTTTAAAAATAAATTAAATTATATCAAGAGAAGGATAATATGACAGTAAACAATTTTTTTTATAATTTATGAATTATTAAAAGATAAAAGTGAGACTATAAATAAATCTCATTAGATATTTATTATTGCACATTAACGCTTTTTTAATAAGTTTTGATTTTGATTTGTAAATTTATCTAAAAGTTTAAATGAGTTTTTGAGAGCCTAGCATAATGCTTATGCTTTTGTAATAAAATGATTCTTCCATAAGCAGGACCAAGCGCCAATTAAAAGTGATTGAATACATTAAGTAGCTTTTTATCAGATTTCATTGAAATCTTTCTATTGAAGTGGTTTTTAAAATGAATTATCAAATACATTAAAATATTTTATTTTCAATAGTTTATCAAACATACTGTTACATTAAAATATTTTTTTCCTTCGAAAGACACGATGGGTTTGATAAACTATTAAAATTTTTCAATGATTTAGTTTTTTTTATTTATTTAATAATTCATTTTCTAAAACTACTTAAATTATAAAAGTTTAATATGTTAATAATCTATTCAGTTAATCTTATTTAAGAAAATATGTGTTATTTAATAATATTAATTTTTTTATTTTTTTAAATTTTTACCAATACAAAAATACTTATAGAATCATATCTCACTGTTTACAAAATATTCAATAAAAAATATATTCAATATTTAATTTTTAATAGCATATCAAAAAAATTTTATATCATAAATACGGTGCTTGAAATTTTTAAAATAAAAATTTAGTACTTGAATTTTTAATATTGAATTTTTTTCAATTTATGAAATAACACTAAAAATTTTAAAAATAAAAGTAATTGAAAATAGACAGACAAATTATCGAAGCAAGCCAATTCCTCTAGGACTTTCCGCAACAACCAACCTCAGCACTCATATTCAAGTTAAAAGCATACCTTTTTTTCTATTTTAGCTTAATCTCATTTTGAAAAAAAAATCAGTAAAATTAATAGTTTTTTCCCTTTCAATGATTATTTAATAAAAAAAACCAATTACATATTGAAATTTACTATAGTGTTAGATCGAGGAAATTGAAAAAAAAAAAGAATTTTAACCTTTTAGAGTAAAAAAAATGAGTATGAGAAAGTGAGATAATGTAAATAAAGAAAAAAAGTACGAAGAAGAGATGAAATTATCACCATTGTCAGAACCATGTTAGAACATCGCCCGTAACTAAGCATGAGTGTACGAAGAAGGTGAGAGAAATATAAGCTAGATAATAAATTTACTCTGCTAAATTATAAATATGTATAATTTGTTTATTTTTGATTGTCATCCTGACTTTTGTATTAAACCTTGTTATAAGTTAATTATTATTTATCGAGTACAAATTAAATCTTAGATGCCATTGGAAAGGAAGCCATCTAAGACTTAATTTGTACATACTAAATGGTGATTGCCCTATTGTAAGGGTTGAAAGAAAAGCGAAGACGACAACAGAATATAAGCAAACTATACATGTTTATAAATGAGCAAAATTACATTCATTATAATTCTTTATGATGATTTTGTAGCTTGGAGGGATTTTATAGGCAAAATTTACCTATGCTAGCCCTTTTTTTAAAAAATGTAAAAAATAAATTTTTAATAAACTAGCATACACACAATATGTATGTCTAATAAGAACATGATATGAATGAATAAACTAAAACAAAACAATAAAATATGAATGTCAAATGTGAGCATGATATAAATGAATAAACTAAAACAAAAATGAAGAAAATTTTATTTTTTGAAATAGAAATCCTTTTATTGACATATATAGGTTGTTTCATGTAAAAAAATAAATATCTTTAAATATTTAATAATGTTGAAGATGTAATTAAGATCATAATTAAGTTGAAAGGAAACTCTTTAAAATTATTTATAGCCAATTTATGAGAATGGTATCAAAATTAAAACTTACCAACTACTTGATATAATTTCTATTAATGTGACTTGTTAAGTTAGTAGTATTTCCTTTGAATAAACATTTTCTTCATAATTCGTTTTTAATGTGACTTTTGTAGGTTTTTTTTTTTTTCTAACATGAACTTATCCCACGTGACCATCTCAAAGCATCAATATTGCTTACAAGAGGGTTGGAACACTATACATATTATATATTTTTTAATATAATTTTTTATATTATATATTTTTTATTTTTTAAAAAAGTACTATAAATTTATTGACAATCATCATCTATCAGTCACTGTCTAACAAAAAAACAGCTACTGAGATTAATAAAAATACATACTTTAAAATCTATAAAAAATTGAAACATTCAATATATGGTTTAAACAAAATAACAAAATTAAAGGGTAAAAATATATTTAATAACATTATAGAATGTAATGCAATCTGATTGCATTGATTTTAAATTATATTAATATCTATTGGTTTTAATATGTTTACATTGCAATCTCATATTGCAGTGATTTTTTACAATACAAATACTATAATATAATTTAATTAAACATATTATATGGAATGTATTTTCAATGTTTTCACACCAAACATTATTTATGTGGGTGAAAAGATTGTCTTGAGAGACAATTGTATCTATTGTTTTATTGACACTAAACTCAAAAACAGCTTACTTTACAAAAATGTATTAATAAAAAAGGCAATAATGCTGAATAAAAAATGAGTAAATTGTAGTATTTTAAAATTTTACCTTAATTTATATCGAATTTATTAATATTTAAAATAAACATTCATTATCAAAATAATATATTTTATAAATTAAGATATTTTTAAAGTTCCTATTAACTTAATGATGTGACATATTTTATTTTTATACTTATTTTACCTTTATTACATAAGAGAAACAACAAAGTTAAACTTTACACTTCCTAGATAGAATCTAAACATGCTAGATAGAGATAGATTACTTGCTTTCTTCCTTGCTTCGATTTTTCGCTTGAGATTTCGTGTTGATTTGCTTGTCATTTAAGTTTTTGGATAATGTGGAAATGTATATGATTTTGAAACTTATTTATTTTTTAAAACAAATTTTACTTATTTTTTATTTACAGTTTAGATGTTATGTAATAAAGTATCTGATAAAATTCTCAAAGAAAACAGTCATATCTTCTCCAAACAATAATGCACTAAAATATAAATTTTAATTTTAAATTTAAATATTGTCAAGCTGATCGAAGAGCTACTTTTTAAATATCCAAATCTGAAAATAATTATGTAAAATTCTATTTTATTTGTAAAAAAAATATAAATTTTTTCTATTTTATTTCACCTCAAATCACATACTATTTTTTATATAATATACCCCCTTTTAGTGACATGTCAAAATTAAGATTTACTCCACTAAATAACAATCAATATTATAGTTAAGATGAAGTAACATGTTATATAATATAGTTTTAAAAGTAATTTAATTTAGCAAAAGAGCCTAAAATGCTCGTGGTGAACAAGATGTTAGAGTTAAGGTTTAGTTACCACTTACCTTCGTGCAAATGTTTTGAATGTATGATATTCAAGTTCACTTGAATATTCACTTGATTGTTATGATTAAAAAATGTTTCAAAGATTCATATCCAAGGAGACTATACGGTTCTCAGAATTTTAACTATAAGTGCAATATTATGAGAGTTCAATGGACACATCAGATTCTGAAATAATGTTGCTCCACACCCAGGTATGTGATGAAAGATTAATCATTGCCTCTTTGCACAGGCTCAAAACAACAATATCCGTTCCAAAGAAAAGGAAACCAAGGTAATTTGGAAAAGAGTTAAAATTCCAATCCGAACAAAAAATACAACAATATCCATGCATTATTATTCTTGGAAATTCAAAGGATCACAAATTATGACTATGCATGATGGTCAACAACATCTTTGCCTTCCTTGCCTTTTCGTGTAGCAGCTCTTAATTTTCGTTGCTCCTCCTTATAAATTCGATTTCTTCGTTGAAACTGCAATAATTATCAAGATGGACCATAATGAATGTCAGTATATGATTAGGATCCTACCACCATTTTATCACATTGACATGCACATCATCACCAAAGATTATGGGATAAACCAAAAAGCTCTAAATTCAATCTACAATGCCATGTCCCAAAAAGTAACCGAGTGATTTTCTTTACCATTGACCTAGGCTCACATCTAGAAGTGAATCATAAAGCCACAATGAACAAAATATACACAAGCTCATTTATCCTTCATGATTATGCATTCAGACTAGCTGACTCTGCAAACCATTAAAACACAACATCATAGAGAATAAATAGGGCTTTTTAACAATAAACCACACCTGTCATCACTCGACCATTTTCATCTCATCACACAGTTTCATAGGTTACAGAAAATTGATGTTCTTTAAGCAATATCACAGGGTAGAAGCTACAGTTACAACATACTCATAAATCTGTATAAACAAAAATTTTAACAAATTCCCTAAAACTACAGCAAAAAGTCACAGCCATATTGATCCAGATGTCAGGGGTTGAAGTTCTAATACCTTTTGAACTATCTTGTACATTTGATGTTTGCAAGAAACTAGTAGCAAATATGGGCGGAAAAGCATATAGTTATCAATTTGCAACATACATATAGTAGCAATTCAAGATACCTTCTTGAAGACCCCTTATGATATTGACGCCTACACATGCTTAATCTATCACTCTACCATGTGCCACATCTTCAAATTCATTATATACCTAAAGAAGTTCAAATTCATCTCCATGTATCCACACTCAATGGTGAGTGTAATCTCAGCCATTATTAAGATTTAGATTACCCATTACCATGAAAAGTTCAAAATAACCTGAAGGTAAAGGAATTTTCAAACTAATGAAGCTGTATCTCACCGGATTATAATTCACAACCAGATGCAGCACTGAGACGCAAATAAAGCACCTACTAACAATAAGTCATAAGCAGCGCTTGGCTCATTAAATCAGGGTAAGCTAGAACTACACATGCTACAGACACCAGTGACTTGGATTTAGAACTACAATTGAAACAAAACGATGCAAACACTACTTATTTACAAATGATCTTCAAAAGAACTAATTGAGCCGATTCCAGCCCAATTTGGGGTTTTGTGAACACGCTAGGCGCGAAATTTAGCTAGCTCAATATCAATATCTAAAAAGCATGAAATTCAATGAGAAATAAAGAATTAATTATCTAATTAAATATGCATATTTCCAGAGTAATTAATGGCTAAGATTAGAACGTGATGAATCGAAAAAATGATCTAAGAGAACAAATTGGACACTCCATTGGCAAGAATACAAAAGAGTTAGGGTTTTAGGAACATCTCAACAGCAAGAAAAAAAATGCAGAAATCCTGGAATCGAAGCGAAAATGAGTTAATTAAAAATTAAAAAGTGAACGAAGAGGGCGAGAGATTACCTCTTTGGAATGGTGGAGGCACTCGAGATAGTCTTCGCGGAGTAGAGCGCAGTCCTTGGGCTCTCTGCAACGGGACATACACTCGCTGAAATCGACCCAGAAATCGTAGCACCTACCTTTGTTCCCATTGATTCCCCAACCTGATGCCATGTCTGTCTTTCTCCGCCCGATCAGATGGACTGTAGTCGAGTAAAACTGTTCAATCTGATTGTGCGGAGAAGCGAGGTAAACTCACTTGACGCTTTGGTTGTTTCAGGTGGCTCGGAAATGACCAAAATGCCTTATGCACGGGTTTACGGGCTACCCATGGACCACGGGTCGTCATCCGTTTTTCGGACTCATCAACCCATTGTCACATTGGAAAATAACAAAATGTATTAGTAAAATATTTGTTCTTTTGTTATATTTACTCTACCACTCGAACTAGTAACAAATAAAATAGATGCTTAGTAGATATTAGGGCAAAATAGCATAAAGTCGTGCAATTGGTCCTTGCCGTGTGTAAATACTCTTCTTTTTCTCTTTATATTCTTCCCATTGCACCTCTCTTTTCTTTAAACCAAATGCAAAAAAGGTTGTCTTGCAATGAACAGCCGAGTACTTGTGTTCGAATAAAAGAAAAGCCAAAGTGCCGGTAACAATAACCATGAGTTGATTGTGTAAGGAGACTGAATTCACTACAAAATGTGGATACCAAATCTTTTCGTAAGATAGCAAGAAACATACTTTTTAGTATTACATATTAACATAGTATAATAATTTGCCAAGTTAATTAAAACGAAGTTTAAAATGCATCAATCTATTGTTACAAAAGAACCTAATTTTCAAGGGAAAATTTTGTTATAATAGAATTTAATCCTATAAACTCAAAGAAAATTCTTCTCAAGATTATATATTTGAAGTTTAAACTATACCAAATATGTCATGGTTTAAGAGTTCAAATTTGTATATTAGTCAGTCCAAATAGGCTCAGCTCATGTAATGTAATTTGATTTAAACTTTTGAATTTGATTATATATATTTAAATATTGTTAGTATTAGATTAAGATTAAAATTTAATTTAAATAATCTCTTTAAATTAAATTTCTTGTCATTATACCCATTTTGTAACTTATTTTATCTTGTAAACATCTTTAGAAAAATACAAAGCATTTTATTTCTTAGCATTCTATTTTCCAAAAGCTCTATCTTCGTCTTTTCTTTTACATCTACTATTTTATGGGTTTAAGGTTTACTTTGCATAAGGTTGGGCTTAAATTCTTACATGTGACAGTTGGTTTTAAAATCAAGATTCAAGGAGAGGGATTGCATTGACGGGGGATCAGTTTGCACCAGCCCAAGAAGGTAGGGAGACCAGAGGTGCTGCCAAGCAAGGTAAGTTAAGGGACATTATGTCTATTTTCAAAAATCGAGTAGCCAAAATGGAGGTGGTCGAGGGAGAGATGAGAGACAAACTCGAAGAGTTTAAGGCCAACATGGAGGAGTTGAGGTCTAAAGATGACAAGCTTCGTGGAGAGTTGCAATCAACCTTCAATGAATTGGTAGAGATGTTGAACCATCAAGACGCGGTATTGGAGGAGTTAGTCGAGTTGTTACAGCAAGAGGTGGTGTGAAAATTGCTTAATGGAGGACTCATTTAAAGGTGCCAAAATCCAAAGAATTCCAAGGTAAGAGAGAAGCCAAAGAGGTGGACAATTTCCTTTGGAGCTGGGAGCAATACTTCAAGACCAAGGGCATCACGAAAGATGCTCTACGGATTAATTTCACGGCAATGTATTTTGTAGACATGGGATTGTTATAGTGGAGATGTAAGTACAATAAGAAGCTTAGGAAAGCAACCATTAACACTTGGACAAAGTTCCAAAGGGGAGTTCTAGAAGCAATTTTACCTTGAGTGCACAAATGATTGGGCATCTGGCAAACTTAAGAGGCTTACCTAAGAAGGTGAGGTAAGAGAATATGTTAAGCAATTTTCTGAATTATTATTGCAAATGAACGATCTTGGTGAAATGGAGGCACTCTTTTTTTTTGTAGATGGTCTCAAATCATGGGACAAATTGAAACTAAAAAAAAAAAGTGTGCAGAATATCACAGAGGCTATGACCATGGTAGGGTAGAGAAAAATAATGGGTCCAAAGAAGAGGCTGATGAAAAATCTCCACACTATTAGACCAAGGTAATCACCAAGTGAAAGGGTTAAAAAAGAAAGCCCCTTAAATGTTTTTGGTGCAAGTAACCGCATTTGATGAGGGACTAGCTCATATATAAAAAGCTCGTAGCCATCATGACAGACAATGAAGATCTGAGTGGCAACCAACATGTAGAGAAACTCGATAAATGATCACATCTAGAGAGCTTAGTGTTGCACAAGGAAAAAGAGAAAAACCAGTGCAGTGGCAAAGAGTGTCATCATCCATAGTTAAAAAAGCTTAGAAGCGTAGAGATTGAGTAGCGTCGTGTTGTATTTAAGGAAACAATAAATGATAACGAAATGTTGTATGGTTCGAGAGAGACCAAGATCAGTGGTGATGAGATTGCCATAAATGAGGGCAAAAAAACCCTAGACATGAGCACGAAATCATCATGACCAACCAATTACTTGTGAGACTAAGGGATTAAGGAAAAAAGGGATTTGTCTGTAATAAATGCCTAAGGAAATAGCGTATTCCAAAGAAATGTGTAGAACCCAAAAGTGCACAAAATGATGTCGTTCGAGGCAAAGACGTGTGAGAGGACAATTGTAATGTAATAATGCATCTCTTAGCAACGAGGGCATTGTTGGATTGAGTGAGGGAGGATGCCACGGTCCAAAAGTTCAGACTAGTCCAAGCAAGCTACACAATCAAACAAACAACAGTCAAAGCAGGCTAGGCAACTTAGACAAGCAAGACAACAACTCCAACTTAAATAATGTGATTTCATTTGAACTTTTAAATTTGATTATGTATGTCTAGATTTAGATTATATTAAGAATATGATTTGGATTTAATTTGAAAAATCTCTTCAAATTAAATCTTTTATCATTATCCTTCATCTTATAACATAATCTTATCTTGTAACACACCTCTAAAGAAATACAAAGCATTCTATTCCTCAAAAGCTCTTTCTCTTCTTCCTTTCTTTCACTTTTGCTATTTTGTGGGTTTTAAGATTTAAGCTCTATTTTCAGAGTTTAAGGTTACATGAAGCTATACTTAAGTTCCAGCACATGATTAATACACCATCCTAAGTCCCATATCAAATATAAAGGTGAGTATTGGTTGATTTCAATTGTGGAAGAAGCCAAAGCTGACCAAATCAAATGGGCTATATAATCAATTGAAATCTATTAGACCGATGAAGAAATTGAGCAAACTAAAGCCGACCACGATTCGATCAAATTTCTCGATTGGTTAGAATTTTATTAAGCTTGGACTTAAATGGTCCAAACCAAAAAAATGACCACTTAATAATTTATATAATAACTAATTAGCAATCGATCAATGAAAGACAAAAAGAGCAAGTAGAAGGCATTTAATGTTCTGATTCATTCTCCCATATGTAGGATGAATGCATTTAATACCCACATCAATCTACCATCTATCAATGAAACAATAAGAGCTTATTCAGGACAACCATATGTCATCACTCATTAGTCTTTACGTTGGCTTTGGGAATTGGGATTGGCGACAATCGGCAAAAAAGGCTTAAGCAGCTGCTAGCAAGGAGGTGAGGTCAAAGATGATGCTTCAGTCTTCAGATACGGTACAATGGCTTCATTAAGATGGGGTGAAGGCTTTTTTAAATTTTAAGATTTTTGGAATTGAGGGAATGCTGATCAAGGGATGGATGGTTAGATGGGAGATAAATTAATGAGGATAACAAATGTAATTCCCCTTATATTAAAACTAGCAAAAACATTTGCTCAATTTTTCGGTTGATGTTGAGGGAGATTTTTCTTGATGACCGAATCGATCAATTGCTAAAAACAATTGAAGTAACCAATATCTTATTTAAAACCAAATACCAACTCGTTTGGGGTCGAAACTGACAAATACAATCAATTGTTTAGTCATAATCAATCGTTTACTCAGTCTTACCCATATGGCCAAAGTCATTATGTTTAGATAGTATTTGATATTTTATAATGTAATGTGATTACAGGTAATGTGATTGCAAGTAATATGAATATAAACAATGTGATTGCAGGGAAGATAATATTATAGTGTTTGGTATATAAGTAAAGTAATTATTAAAATACAGGACAGATAACATTGCAGCGTTTGGTTTATAAGTATTTTGCTAGAATGTAATGTCAATTTTTAGAATTATCCTTATTTATTAAAATGTAAGTTTAATATACTTGTATTTTTTAATTATTAATTTTTATGAAATATAAGCTCTTGAATATATTTTTAATACCATATATTTTATTTTTATTTTTTATTATAATCTTATATATATTATTTTCATTTCTTGATATAATTTTTTATATTATACACTTTATTTTTATTTTTTTAAAAGATAATATAAATTTTATTGACAATTACTAGGGAGTAATAAAAAGACATTTTTTAAAATCTATATAAAAAAATAAATTATAACATTATAAATATTTTTAACAAAATAATAAAATTAAAAAGTAAAAATCTTTTTAAGAGTATTACAGAATACAATACAATCTAATTGTATTAATTTTAGATTATATTCATATTACATTTATTAATTATAAAATAAATATTATAATATAATTTAATTAAATATATTAAAAATCTTCCTTTCCTTCTACAAACGTCACCTTAAATCATTGGACCCGCTTAGATTCCCAGAACGCAAAGACGCGGCCCACTTCGCTTCTAACGTGCGCACCAAGGAGTTGAGCTTCTTTTGCGCGAGGTTCCCCCAACATCTCCTACTTCTGAACGCCAGCGCGCCATTGGACAGATCAACAACTGTCCAAACATCGAAGAGACCAACTGTTGACTTATGGTCAACATCCGTACTGCTGTTCACGATCTTACCTACAAACATCATTCCCTGATTATCGCTCTCCTTGTAAAATGGACTAACAAGCTCTAGGGCGGGAGAGTCGTACTTCAGCCAGAAGGCAACGGAAGACTACTCTTTTTCCACATTCCACCTCTATAATAAAGAAACAGAAAACAGGAGGCAAAAGCGGAAGCAGTAGTACAAGCAGAGGAAGAAAATACGAAGAAAAAAAGAGGAAGGGGGATTCCGAAACGTCAAATAATGGCGTCACCATCGTCTCCAACGGCATCGTGTAGCTCTTCGTATACGTCATCATTTCCGTCCTCCAAGTTCTCGTCTCTCCCCGTGATGGCGCTCAGGGAGAGAATCGTCGAGAAAATACTCAAGAATCGCGTCACTCTCATCGTCGGCGAAACCGGCTGCGGTACTACTTCTGTTCTTCACCATTTTACGTTAAATTTGTTTCTCCCCTTTTCCCGACTGTTGATGTTGCCCGTTTGAGTAACTTAATGAGGCCGTGTTTGGTTGCTGATCAAGTTGATGGAAAGAATAAAGATCTTTCTTGTTAATATGCTGATTGGAGAAATTGTTGATTGTCTTATCGCACTTGCTTTTCACTTCTTTCATATCGTTTTCATTCTTTGTGCTTTGATGGCTTTGAGCGTAGAAAAAGCGATTTATATGATTGCCTTTTCCTTCTTGGTTTAATTTTCTGTTTGGTTGGTGGTGAGCTTAAGAAAAGAATCCGTATTAAATGATTAATCCTCGTTGCAACCCTGTTTGGATGTCAATATTACTTCTGTTGGACATGAGCAAAATGAAAAATTCAAGGGAGCAAGTTGCTTCACCTAAGTCAAAACCATCTGTTTGGTTCAGTCGAATGGAGTTTTCCGCAGTCCAGATATATTACAATGCTTACTATTTTGCTTCTGCTTTTTTTCATTCAGTTTTAAAACAGATTGAAAACTGGAATCTCTTTGAAATGGAGTTACATGCTATTCGACTTCTTTCAATAACAAAATCGCTTACTCACTTGATTTGTAACTAACACTAAATTGAATAATAGCTGGTTGATTTGCACAAACTTTGTTCTTTCGTCAAGTCATAGTGTCTGAAATTAAAGATCTGTTGCAATAAAAGTTTGAGGTGTTGTTACTTGTACCTCTTTAAATTATATAGTGATTAATCTATTTATCTACTTATACTGGAGAAGAATAGTTAGCTTTGTTTCTTTCCTCTATGATGTTATTCCTATCTCTACAGATGAGTATGCCTTTTGTTTGATTGTGATCTAATTATATTCTTTTTAGTAGCTAATGTCTTTTTTCATTTTTATTATTCTTCTATAACAAGGGAAGAGCTCCCAAGTTCCACAATTCCTGTTGGAGGAAAATGTCGCTCCTGTTTTGTGCACACAGCCAAGGAGATTTGCTGTTGTAGCAGTTGCCAAAATGGTTGCACTAGCTCGAAATTCTGAACTGGGTGACGAGGTTGGATACCATATAGGTCATTCAAAGGTTCTGTCATCTAGGTATTTTGTAGTCAATAAACTAATTATGCATGGTAGGCTGGTAGCTAAAATGTTACTACTAATTTTCACCATTTATTTAGCAAGAGGGCTTTTCGTTGTCTTCATTTTTTTTTAAAAAAAAAAAAATTATAAGCAAGAGAGGGCTTATCTTTGAACCTTAGTCAGCCAAGGGGTCATAAGAGATATTATAAAACTAATTGCTAATCTTAAAAGATATTATCACCTTTAATGGTATTTTATTGATTCTTATTCTCATAAATTTGATGTATAACAAATCTACTCTGTAATACATAAATTATTGTCAAAAGATGAGTCCACGTTACCCTTTGGTGCTTCTGCGGAGTGATTTTAGTTGACTATGACTTGCAGTAGTTCACAGAGTTAGCATCAACTTTGCTTTATCCTTTTGATTGGTGTTGAGGTACACCTCGTTGCTACTGTCCCACCACCTCTGTCTCATTCTTTTTTCCTCCCTCCATGACAGTGTAAAATATTTTCTGTACATACAACCTGCTTCAATTTCTGCAGCCACTTCTTGGCATTCTCGTTTACTTCATTCAGAATATATTTTATACTTTTGAGTTCATTTCCTTTTCATTTTTCACAGATCAAAGATTGCTTTCAAAACTGCTGGAGTTTTGTTGGATGAATTGCGAGATAAGGGGTTCCATGCACTTAATTACAAGGTTGTTATTCTTGATGAAGTGCATGAAAGATCTATTGAGTCCGATCTTGTTCTTGTTTGCGTGAAGCAATTTCTGCTGAAGAACAAAAACCTGAGGTTAACATCTCCTTTCAGTTTCATGTTTTATTTTCCTGATATTTAAATATTCCATTAATCTGTTCTTTTCCAGCTAACATGGACTTGGGCGATGCATTACTATCATTCAACAGTTTTCTCAATCTCAATGATAAATGTGTCAATTCCCCAGGGTGGTGTTGATGTCTGCAACTGCTGATATTGGAAGATACAGGGATTACTTCAAGGACCTTGGTAGAGGCGAAAGAGTTGAGGTGCTGGGAATTCCGAGCTCAAACCGGAAACATGTTTTCCAGCGACAGGTTTCATATCTTGAACAGGTCAGCTGATTTTGAAAATTTTTGGGGGATCTCAAACCTGTTCATTGAGAGATAGATGGCTTGATGATGCATCTTTGATAATGCTACAATGAAAATTTATTTTTCATGAAGTATTAGAGGTGGTGTTAAATAATAATCACAAGTTTAAGGAAAGCAGCTTTTACTGTGCAAAGCTGTTGAATATATCATGAAAAGATGAGGTGGCTGATATCTTGATTTGGTCTAAAACGATATTTGGCCATGTTAGAGGTGATATTAAGTGAGATTTGGATTTCTTGGATATGTCAAAGGCATTTCCAGAGGTTTCAAGAGTATTAAACTTATGAATCATGATGTTGAAGCCATTCCTTGCATAGATATCTTGATCCTTGATTGTGTTACCTCTTTTTTAACAGGTGACTGAGTTACTTGGAGTCAGTTCAGAGTTAATAAGTTCAAGATATTGTTCTGGCCCTTGCCCTTCCATGGCAGATGCTGAAATTAAGCCTGAAGTGCATAAACTTATCCATGAATTAGTGTTGTACATCCATGAAAATGAGCCAGATATTGAAAAGAGCATTTTGGTTTTTCTTCCAACATACTATGCCCTTGAGCAGCAATGGTACCTTCTGCAGCCATTCAGTTCATCCTTTAAGGTTCACATTTTACATCGTAGTGTTGACACTGAACAAGCTCTTATGGCTATGAAAATCTGGAAATCACATCGTAAGGTATACTTTTAACCAGTCTTGCCTCTTTTAACCTAATTATGACTGCCTATATATCATGGTTGAACTTGCAAAATATTGATTATGCCCATGCATCTTATAGCATTATCCTTTAATTGCTTTCTCATTTCTGAGCAGGTTCTCTAAAAGATACGATTGTTTGCAGTTATGCAGCGAATTTAGTTTGGTTCATAGGTTGTGTATGACAATTGACTTTTATTAATTTCTGCATCTATCAATAGCTACCACGTCTTTCTTCTTCAAGTTTGATATCTTGTTTGGTTTTTGTGGATATTTGGCCAAAATAAACAAAAAAACTATTTTACACAGGTAATACTGGCCACAAATATTGCAGAATCATCTGTGACAATACCCAAAGTGGCATTTGTTATTGATTCATGCCGGTCTTTAGAAGTCTTTTGGGATGCTGCTCGAAGAAAGGATTCAACACAGCTTGTTTGGGTTTCTAACTCTCAGGTATTGAAAGAATTTTTGATGGTTGATGTTCTTTCTTATATTTTAGTTCCTAATTTTCACATAATTTTATAGGCTGAGCAGCGGAGAGGTAGAACTGGTCGTACTTGTGATGGCCATGTATACCGGTTGGTTACACAATCATTTTTTAGCAACCTTGAGGAGTATGAGCGTCCAGCTATATTGAAGTTGTCTTTGAGGCAGCAAGTGCTTCAGATTTGCTGTGCTGAATCCAGAGTTATTAATGATCCCAAAGGTGTGGTTTTATAATTATGATTGTAACATAAAAAGTTCTACCATTAATTATTATGTAGGTTTAGAAGTCCTTTTATGATTTTGAATGTCAAGAGACAAATTGTGTATTTTTTAATTGAGAGAGAATGTTTTGAGCCTGCATTGTGGAAGTTTGTCATATCAATATTTGACTTCAGTCTACCTAGAAAGTTGGGATAGCATATGCAAAGTACTACTTGCTTGCTAATGACCTACACCTATGTATGCACTGATTTATGTTGCTCATTTACATTGACAAAAGTCGAATGGGGCCCTAATTCCTGGTTTATTGGGGTTAGCTTTGTTGCAGAAGGCTCTGGACCCTCCTGATCCAGAAGTTGTGGAAGATGCATTGAATTTGCTAGTTCATGTGAAAGCACTAGAAAAAAAATCACCAAGGGGCCGTTATGAGCCCACATTTTATGGACGGCTGCTTGCCAGTTTCTCACTGTCCTTTGATGCATCTGTGTTTGTTGTCAAGTTTGGGAAAGTCGGGATGTTGCGTGAAGGCATTCTTCTGGGTATATTGATGGATACTCAACCTCTACCTATTCTTCATCCATTTGGGGGGGAGCATTTGGTACTGCCTATTAAGAACAAAATTTTTGTGTTTTGGGTGCACTTATTTTGAATTTTTCTCTTTTTCTGATAAATGGTTTTCTACTTCAGTTTACAGAGTACATAAACTGCTATTTTTGTGGAGATAGTGACAACATTGTCCTAACTGGTCGAAAGGAGGTTGTATTCTTGGGAAACTTATGTGCGTTTCAGTTTTGGCAACGTGTTTTTAAGGTATAGTATGTTCTAACTTGGTTGAGGATTCAACCTTTTTTTTTGCATTTACGATGTAAAGTGTCGTCTTTCTCTGAAGGATAAGCACCGTCTTGAACATTTGAAACAACTGCTGAAGTTTGATGAAATGAAAGCTGCAACATTATTGCTGCCCAAGCTTGAGGAAGAATGGTGCTCTTTCCATCATCTTGTGCAGTCATCACTGCACCATGTCTCTGAAATGTGTATGAATTTATAAAACTATTACATTTGTGCCTTTTGCTTCTGGTTTTTTGCAACAATCTTGTGTGATTACTTCTAGTCATGTCTATGAACGTTGATGGTCCAAGCTACAATGCTAGCCTTGTTTCTCTCTCTCTCTCTCTCTCTCTCACACACACACACACACACACACACACAAAATATAGAATTTCAGTGTTTTCTTAACATTATCTTTTAGAAGTGTCTTCTCAAATTTGAACATCTTTCTTTTTCAGATGAAGACATACTAAACTCCATGCACTGTTTCCGGCCTAACTTTCTGCCTGCATCTGATGGCATACCAACCTACTATTCTCCTTATGAATTTGGACACACTTGCCTTCTTCAATTTCAGCCACAGGGAGAAACCAATGCACTTTCTTCGAGTGACGAACAGCTTGAGCAATCTTTTGAAACAAGGAAATGTGTTGCTGTGCCATTTGTTGCTTCTGATCACTTCCATACCAATGATGTGGCTAAAACTTTGGCAAATGCTATCAAGGAGGTACTATTTTTGGTATGTCATGCGTGCATCACGTTTGGGTTTATTAATTGATCTTTTCTTATTATGTTCAACAGATAAGAGTTCAATATGCGGGAGACATTTCTGGTAATCACCAGGCAATTATTGATGACTACGATTCTCATGTCAATGGGGGGACTCCTCTGTGTGTTTATTTTGTGAATGGACGTTGCAACAGGGGTAGTCTCTGCAGATTTTCTCATTCACTCCAAGCAAAAAAACCAGCTTGCAAATTCTTTTTCTCTCTGCAGGTAACTTCTTTTGCTCTAGTTCTTGAAAATGTTATTTTGGGTCCTTGACACCACTATATATGTTGCTACTTTCCTCTGGGGCTAGTTGAAACCCACTGGGTCCCTATCACCTTGAGTTGCCAACCCAAGCTTACTGGTGATTATGCACATCATATTGTGAGGTAATTGTGGAAAGGTAAATGTTAAAGATGGGAGGACACTTTCTTATATTTATGTAGCTGCAAACCTTGTTATCTTCATTGAAACAGTCTGGGGATGGAAGGGTGGAATATTTGGTTGATGCTTATATAGCCTTCACCATTTTTAGTTTTGACAGTGATCATGTGCATGATGATATACAATCTAGCCTGTTTCGTGCTTGCAGTTTTTATGGCAATATGTTAGCTGTGTAGTTAGTATGTCTTACTGTTTAAAGTTGCTTTTATCAATTAACTATTTGATGTTAAAAGAAATGGAATAGAATAACTATAAGTTCTTTTATAGTTTTGAAGTTTAACCATTTGCGATAGCTGCTTATAGCCCCAGTTCTACTTAGATGATTTTAGTCTGATGACATCGGATGCAATCAGGAAGAATCATCTAGGAAATTTCCTTGCCCCATGTACCAACTAGTTTGGGTAACTTTTTAAGTTGATAGATGCAGATAATTTTTTCAGCACATAATGAATTCAAGGACACCGTTTGATGGAACTCAATTTTTGGGGTCCTGGGCTCTTTATTTAGTATTCTTCAATGATAATTTAAATAAAGTGCCTTTGCCGGTGGGGGATGGTATATTGAAGTAATTGATGTTATAACTAAGAATCAGGGCATAGTATTAGTTGTTTAAGCAATGCAACATAATTTCAATGATGGCATATAGCTAACTGCTTTTAGTGAAGTTGATAGTAGAAGTTAAATGCTGCTCTTGAGGTTACAATTCATTTACTTGGTGGCTTTTTGGACATTAATTAGCATTCCTTAATTTATGTTATTTGCCCCGTGTGCATGACAACTCAATCAATAGCAGCAACTGGTAGCATTCATATGTGCCTTAGCAGGTAGCCATAAGGTTCCTATTGTGAATATTTACGCATCTGTAGGATAAGCTTTTACGTTTTACTGATTTTTTTTTCCCGAATTGCTTCCAAAACAAAAATTTATTTATCCACAGTGTATGGTTTCTTAATACTGTGAAAGTGGGTTGCAGGGTTGTAAGAATGGACATTTGTGTTCCTTCTCTCATGATTCTTATCAGTCAGTCTCATCATATAGCTCAGATGTATGTCTGCCAGAAGAAGAGCATGCTGATGCATCATCTCTTCTACGATTATTACCAACATCTACCAATGGATGCATCCTTTTGTTGGATGACACGAATATGCATTTCACATCAAATCTTGCTAACCACTGCAATCCATCAAGAATTATCTCCACTACATCTCTGACAGAAACATCCATGACTGACCCATCACTGACTGGTGTTAGAATCCTATGGGGGCTCCACCATCCCTACCAGACCATCATTTCCTATACAGGGGAGAACCCAATTCCATGGAATGAAGTCAAGCTTGTGCTGTGGTTTCCTTATCTGGATGGGTATGCTGAAGATTTGGATAGGCAGAAAATTCTTGTACAGAACTTTTTTGAGTATCTTGCTATTCGAGTATTGAGTGATGCCCTGTTTGAGGTTAAAGTAATCCTTGCCATCAACAACATCAAATTTTCACAACTACAGGTAATTGCCATTTGCTATACTAATGTTATGCTCTGGCAATTTACCTGGAAAACAAAGTGATCATTGAGTTTGAAATCTCTCAATTTTCATTTGCATGGTCACATGATCACACACACATTATATATATATATATATCAGCAGAGGTTTTATTGTCGTTCATGTTTTAAGGTATTGTATTGTTTCAGGTTGAAAAGTTGGCAAGAGAGAGCTTCTTCTTCCTTACTGAGTCATTTCCATTTGATCAAACGAGCTTTGGGGAGTTGTTGGATACAGTCACACTTAACAAGCCAATGTTGGCATCGAGGTCTATCTCATATGTGTTTGACCTGCACCCACCTAGTGATATCCAGTTTGGTGACTATGCTTCTGTGCTTCACAAGCATCTACATGACTGGAAAACATCTTGAACATTCATGGTTTCTGCCTGCAGTGAGTTCTAAGGATTTTGCTCGTAAATGTCTCTAATTATAGTCATTTAAAATTGCCATTCATCCTAGTACTCAATATACATATATATATATATATATATATGTTTTATTTATGGACTTTGCTTATTAGGTGTCCATACGCATTTGTTGAAGGAATACGAGTATTTGTAATTAATGTTTTAAAAATAATCATATTCACAATAAAAAATTACATATAATGTGAATATTTCTTTGAAATAACCTATTAACAAGTGATGAGAAGGTGAGCAATGGTTTGTGTGTTTTAGAACTCATAGGAAATTAGGAATTCTTCTTGATATTTATGAAGGTTCCCTCTTTATAAACTCAGCATAAGAAAAAACAAAGGAAAAGGAGGAATACTTGTGGAAGTTATATATCGTCTTTGGTCCACACAATGATGCCGTTTGTTCGCGTGTCTCCTTCTCAAGGCAAGTTCGTGTAGTTTCTCCAATCTCACGTTTATTTATAAATGGGAAATGATCAAAAGATTTATTTAGTTTTTGTATTTTTTAATTATATTTAATTTAATTTTTATATTCAAAATTAAAATAATTTTAAAATTTTTTTTAATTTAATCTTTCTTTTTGACATCATTTAATTTTGTTGATAAAAGAGATAATATCAATAATTACGTCAATATTGTTATGATAGATTTTGATGACATGACGTTAAGATGATGACATGGCATCGACGTGATGACATGAACATATCATGTGACACTAATATGATGATATGTTAATGTTAATGTAGCATTGACATGTTAACATATCAATGTCACGTGACAGATTAAAAAAATTTCTAAAATAAAAAATTTTGTCACATTATAAATATTAAATTAAACAAAATTGAAATATTGAGGGATTAAATTAAAAAAGTATTTAAAAAAATATAAATTTTTAAATAGATTATCGATATGTTTATTAATAAATTAAATATTTATGTGTAAAGTATTTATGGTGTTAAAAAATATATAAATATTTTATTACTTGATTATTTAATTATAGAATATGTATATTAATTTATTTTTTTATAAAAATTAAATTTGAATTTTTCTTCTATAAAAATTTTTTAAATAATTTCATACCTAAAGTCAAATTTAGATGAATAACTTGTATTACATTATAATAAAATAATATAAAATGGTTAAATAAATTCTTTTTTCTTCTATTTATAATAGTATAAAAATTTAAAATTTA